AAATTGTCTGAGATCTCCCCTTCCCTATTTTATTCAAATATATCATTAACCAATAACACATAAATTATATTCAACGTAAAAGCTAATATATTATATACCTCAATCTCTAATTGATGATAATGCTGGCTGAATGTCCTGGAGCCCCCGTGATGCTCGTAATTGCGAGGCGCGTTGCGATTCCTCCTTGCTATTTCAGCTTGAGCCTGCAAAACAATGTCAATTCAAAACAATATAGAAATTCAAACAATAAATTAAAATTATATACTTCAATAATACCTGAATTTCAGCCGTGTCCCAGTAATCGCAAAGTGCAAAAAAATCTACTCCATCCACACGCGTGTCAAGATGCCAGTATCGCTCCCAATCTTCTGTTATTTGGACAAAATATTTTTTCTTTACCTCAAACCGCCATCTCTTGAACGATACATTGATTTGCCCGAAGCAGTACGTCCAGGCACAAATATTATCGTCAAGAAAGAAAAATCGCTTCAACATATAAAGAAAAAGTAGATACAAATCAGTGTATTAAACATAATAATAAACTAATAACTAATAATGATGAAAATTAAAATAAATGACTCACACATATATATCTCCAACAAGCCACCAGCGCATCAATCCGCTGCGATTTCCACGTCAAAATATGTTGAAGAAATCGTGTCTCCTGGCTAAAACGGCAAGGAAATTGTTGAAAGCATTGGCAAAGGCCCCAACAGGCACTCCGTTTTCCCATCGGATCACAGCCCTCCGATTAAGATCAGGGATGAGGCTCGATTCCTTAGTAGCATTGCGGCCGCGTCGAGGAGGTTTCTCGGTACCTGCGAAACAAAGAATCGAATGAAACAATGAATCAATATATATTTGCGAAAAAAATTTAAAATAATAACCGATAAACTATAAAAATTTATTCATACCTTTCAGTTCGAGGCATCTACGTTTTGCTTGTTCGTACCTTTGCAGCGCGATGGGGCGCATATCATGATAAGAATCCCAATCATCCCTCACATTCTTCTAGATCTTCATTACCCTTATTGTACAAGATGCAGTCATTAGGACAGGCGTCTATCTTTTTGTAATCAAGACCCAGGGTATCAACAATCTTGTGAGCTTCATAATAAGTTGCGGGGATGCTCTTCTCGCCGCCTGGAATGACTTTCCTGAGCAAGTCTAATAACATCTCGAAATGTGTAACAGCCATCCCACTGAGTGTTTGGATATGAAGAAGCCTCAGCATAAAAGAAAGCCTTGTGAACTCGGTGCAACCCTCGTATAACGGTGACTCGTTTTCTTCAACAAGTCTCATCAATCGGGCTACATCTTGAAACATATCAGTAGTGTTAACATCACTCGAAGACGGCACGGTAAGAATATCTTCCAACATATCAGTTGTGTCAATTGTCGGATTGTCGACATCAGTAAACTCTTCCTCTAATTGCATCACCGGGACGCCTTCACCGTGATGACTCCAAAATACATAAGAGCTATCAAATCCATTGATTGACAGATGGAAACTTACGTCACTCCTAGTGAGCATTTTATCATTCCTACAATTCTTACAAGGACAAAAAATCAACCCGCTGAGTGACCGTAGAGGGTTGGTGTCAGAGTAGGCTAAGAAAGCTTCTATCCCATCCTTGTATCGAGTGTCTAGATGCCTTCGATCACGTGGTATGCCCATGAACGATTTGTCAGGAATTGTCCGCATCTAGAATTTAAAAATTAATGGAAGTGAGCATATCCCTACATATATCATTTTAAGTTATAGGACAAGTGTGTGTGATCGGCTGTCAGAGGAAGGCTTCTATCCCATTAGGTATGTAAACGTAGCGTGTATATGTATTTACGTGTGTTCAAGTGTACTTTTATTTCGTCAAAATTTCGGCAGCACCTACCCGCTGTACTTAATCGGATCCGGATCCTCTACTAATGAGAGGGTTCCTAATATCTCCTAATGAGATCTTGGCCTTTGATTTATCAATCAAAGGCCAAGATCTCCTCATGCACAAAAATAGGCGGGAGATGCGGATAAGATATTATCCTTTGAATATGAATAAGCCTCAGCATAAAAGAAAGCCTTGTGAACTCCTTACACCCCTCGTATAATAGTTACGCTAACCCCTTATCCTCACCCTCACCCCCACCCCCACCCTCACCCTCACCTAACCCTAACCCTAACCCTAACCCTAACCCTCAACCTCACCATCACCTAACCCTCACCCTCACACTCACCTTCACCCTCCCCTAACCCTAACCCTAACCTTAACCCTCAAACTCACCCTCACCCATCACCCCTCACCCTCACCTCACCCTCGATCACATAACTCTAACACTCACCCCACCCTCGATCAAATAACCCTAACCCTAACCCTCACCCTCACCATCACCTCCACCCTCACCTAACCCTCCTCTAACCCTAATCCTAACCCAAACCCAAACCCTAACCCTAATCGAACCCTAACCCTAACCCTAACCCTCGCCTAACCCTAACCCTAACCCTCACCCTCACCCCACCCTC